TTTTTCTTTTTCTTTTTTCTTTTTCTTTTTCTTTTTCTTTTCTTTTTCTTTTTCTTTTTCTTTTTCTTTTACTTTTTCTTTTCTTTTTTTCCTTTTTCTTTTTCTTTTACTTTTTCTTTTTCCTTTTCTTTTTCTTTCTTTTGTTCTTTTTCTTTTCTTTTTCTTTTTCTTTTTCTTTTTCTTTTTCTTTTTCTTTTACTTTTTCTTTTCTTTTTTTCATTTTTCTTTTTCTTTTACTTTTTCTTTTTCCTTTTCTTTTTCTTTTACTTTTTTCTTTTTCTTTTCTTTTTCTTTTTCTTTTCTTTTTCTTTTTCTTTTTTCTTTTTCTTTTTCTTTTCTTTTTCTTTTTCTTTTTCTTTTTCTTTTTCTTTTCTTTTTTTCTTTTTTCTTTTTCTTTTACTTTTTCTTTTTCCTTTTCTTTTTCTTTCTTTTGTTCTTTTTCTTTTCTGGTGCTCTGGTTGTTCACCTGAAGTGATGCACAGGCTGCGGCCAAACGCCATGAAATGCGACATGTATCTTTACTGGTTGCCATGGTAACAGCAGAGCCTCTGCTGCTTAGCTTCTTGGTGGTGATGCATTGATTTACACTCTGTGTGAATTTATTAGCAGCTCACATCTGATCAAAATGGAAAGTGATAACTAATGGCAGATGCGTGCTTTTCCTCCTTCGCAGTGCGCGTGGGAGTTTCTGGAATGAATGCTCACTCGGCTCGTGTTTCTCCTTCCTCTCGCAGATCTTTGCTATCTTCGCCTTCTCGACATGTGGCAGCTACTCTGGCATGTTCAAGATGAGTGTGGAGTGTAAAAACCGGTCGGACAGCGACCTCGGCATTGAAGTAGAATTTGAATATCCTTTCAGGTACGTGACATCACACAGAAAACACACTTGATGTTTCCATTTATCAGATTAAATCTTATAGGAGTGAGCTAAGTATTATGTATTTGACAGTTCTATCACTCCTCACCATACTCACAGGAATATTTGTCAAGACAGTTTGTTTAAGGGTAACAGTACATGTAATCGTTTGATTCGTAATAGCTGATCATTTGTTTCCCTACATGTGGTTTAATTGTTTATATTAACATCAGTAATGAGTTTTTGGGAGAAAAAATGGTCGACATTTAGATTTTTTTAATACTTTGAAAGTGGCTGTTTTATATAGTTGCATTTTATATACCTGCCCTGTCTAATATGTCTATTAAATGACCTTACTACCAGTAACTGGCATGTATTTGGTGAATATTCCATTTCATTAGTAACAAAATACAGTTTTCACCACTGATGGACAATTTCAGACCTTGTTTTTACTCTGAGTTCACTACAGCCTCCTGCATGGCCTCTTCTGTTTTTTCTCAAAGAACTTTAAATTACACACAGTGTCTTTAAAAATCTGATAAATAAGACAGTTCTGGCTCTGACATGAATGAAGCGGGTTCGGTGAGTTGTCCATTGAACATGCTGAAACCCGCAGTCACAAAACCTGTCCTTGTGTCCCGGGATTTTGTCCTCAGGCTCCATCAGGTTTACTTCGACGCCCCCACCTGTAAGGGAGGGAACCGCGAGCGCCTGTTCCTGGTCGGAGACTACTCCTCTTCAGCCGAGTTCTTCGTCACCATTGGTGTTTTCTCCTTCCTGTACTCCATGGCGGCCCTGGCTGCATACTGCTTTGTGCTGGAGAAGTACCGTGAAAACAACAAGGGGGCTCGGATTGTGAGCGTGTTTGTCGTTTATCTTTGTGTCGTCGTTGACCAATGAAGGCGTGCAGACCACCTGTTGGTGGTAAAAACCAACATGTCTTGTCTCTGGCCTGCAGGACTTTGGCGTGACAGCAGTGTTTGCCTTCATGTGGCTTGTTTCCTCGTGTGCGTGGGCCAAAGGTCTGTCGGATGTGAAAACAGCTACCGATCCAGATAGAGTCATCACTCTCATCGGAGCCTGTGATGAGCCAGAGGTTCGCTGCAAAGAGGTCTTTGAGCCCAAGGTCTCGGGCCTCAACACGTCTGTGGTAGGTCCCAACAGGCTGGCTGAGGAGAACCTCCTGAAGGGAACTTCACCAGTAATGTCAAATATTTATCTCCATCCAGGCTTTTGGTTTCATCAACCTGATTCTGTGGCTGGGGAACCTGTGGTTCGTCTTCAAAGAGACCGGCTGGATGGCTGCATTCGCTGGAACATACGTCCCCTCGCAGGAGAAGCAGCCCGCCCCCGATTCCTTCGGACAGGGAGGCTACGGACAGCAGGACCCCTACGCCGGCACCCAGGGGGGATACCAGCCTGAATATGGCCAACAAGGAGGCTACAGTGAAGATGGAGGTTACAACCAGGGCTATGAACAGCAGCCCACCTCCTACTCCAATCAAATGTGAGCCTGCACAGCTGAAACCGCCGCCGCAGGATGGTGAGTTCACCAGGAGGACAGGGGATTGTTGGGACACAAACCACTTCATAGGATTCCTCTTCTCGGTCCATGTTAGGAATCAAAAACTCCGTATTTATACAATAGTTTTGTTTGACATTTGCTTATTTCATTACATGAACCCTTTGGGCGCCAGAGTCTTCCCAAGAAAATCTAAAATGTAGACATGACTATTTCAAAAGGTTGTAGGTTGGAAACGGTTGGAGATGGAGGTCAACTGCATGTGAGAAAAATCTTCAGTAGGTCCGAAGTTTGTGTTGGGAACAAATTCACTCATCTAGTTTGCACACTATGACATCATCAGGCTGCCATATTGGAATGCATCATTTTTACATGTGTTCCTTCTTATTTTTACGTTATTTAGAATTTTTCTTCATAATTAGAATTTATTTATTAATATAAATACACACATATAAAGCTTAATTTCATTGTTTATCTTTTAAATTGTATTTTTTCTATATTTATACTGGCCTCACCCAAGAGAAATGTTGGTCAGGTTTCTTTGGGCTCGTACAGCTTCAAGGATGTCCTTCCCTTGAATGTAATGATAATTTGGTCCAAGGGAAAGAATGCTTTTATGATTATTTGTCACTCTTTGACTTCCATATGTAATGCATCTGGCGCTTTTTAACATTTTTTTTTTTGCATTGCCGCTAAGTCTGTCACAATAGCGGTGTTCTACCATAATTTCCACATCCACCATGTCTCAAACACGGTGAAACAGACGTCAAAGCCAGCGTTTGGAGCTTCTACGTGCAGCACCAGCTGTCTGTTGCCGCGTGCTGCCACAGCGCCAATCTTTCTGGCTGGATGAGTGATTTTCTTCATTAGAGTCAATATCCTGCTTCATAACCAGAGTCGGTCATGACCAGACTAAGATCAGTCAACAAATACCAGACCTGCCAGCACTCCCCCTTCTTGTGCTGCGCTCGTCTCCTCCCCTCGTCCTCCCCTCGGCCGGAAACCTCTCAGCGGGAGGCACTTTTCCAACCCTAAAAACTCAAACTTTCAACATCAACACACCCATAAGTGTTGCTCAGCCTGAAGGTACACCTCTCCACTACCTGCTGGTGTAAAGTAGTAACTTCATGAGGGATCATGTTTGTAGCTGTAGCTCGTTAAAGTCAGCTCACCCCCCCTTGAGTCTGAGAACAGCTGACTCAGTGGTCTCCTTTAAAAAGTGTTCAGACTGGCTTTAGTGTGACCTCACTAGCTTTTCTTCTTTGGGCTCCCTCTTATTTTCTTTTCTCTTGAATTTTTAAATTTAAATTTTATTTCATGTTTTTTTTATTGTGCTCGTGAAGCACTTTAAAGGCATCATATAAAAACTTTTCTTCTTCTAAAATCTCCAATAATGTACGGTTCAAATCTCTATGTATGTGTAAGATGTACCATCTGTGTAGTATGAGCATTTTTACCTTTGGATCGTGTGGTTTTCATTTTGATCTCCTAAAATTGGGACAACAAACAGAAGCAGTTGGTGCTAGCAGGATTAAAAAGCTGCTTTAATGCAACAAAACTAGTTATTGTAGCTTGCATAGAGTGTGTGGTCCATTACAAAGGATTCACAGAGTGAATGAATGAGTGAGTGAATGAATCTAAAAGAGGTGGAAGTTGTGCGATGGAGCGGTTTGATGCGGAGTCAGTGACAGATATCAGCTCTTTGATCGCATCGTCTACAGCTGGTTTTACTCTTGGCCTTCTGCTTTGTGATGCAGTGACCAGAGTTGGTAGAAGCTCTGAATGTAGAGATGCCTGCGATGACCTTTAATCCAGAACGTATCTTGTGCATTTTAAATATTCCTTAAGTGCAGCTGACCACCAGTTTTAAGCCTCTTGGACCGTTGAGGTCCAAAACTCAACAAAATGAGACGTAGCACACAGCTGGTGTTGGTGGAGCCCAGCAGCAGGAGTTCTCCTGGCTTTTTAGCATCACCTCAGACATTAGTGTTACTGAATACAATATGTGGTCATATGTAGTGGTTACAAGACGTCTGGAGCTTTGTAAACATCCATAGAATGCTTCTGTGATCATCAGGATTCTGGTTTATTTATACAGTTCTTCCCTTGCCTCTGCATGTCCAAAGTGTCCTTATAATGCATTTCCGCTGTGTAAGGCTCCAGTTATTCAGTGTTAAAGAACATTATTGTGCAGGTGGGAGCGCTCTAGAGCTCAGACTCGCCTCAAAAGTACAACATGGCGTTGCCTGGAAATGGGACATTGTGTTGAGGAGAACAGAGGCAGGTGGAGACATGTGTCCGTCGTTAAACCTGCAGATAGACCAACAAACATCAACAACAACAACAATACGTTATATTTAAGGCACCTTTCTGACAATAAAGAAGAGAAATAAGATTAAATTAGAAATCACAATTGATTACAATGAACTCCAATCACTCCCACAACCTGCATTGTAATTAAACACGTTGCTGCAGCCAGGTCATTGGGCAATGCTGGCAGAGGAGTTAGAGTAGGTGCCCGCCCTGTAACCGGAGGGTTGCGCTCAGCCTCTGGCAGTCGTTGTGTCCTTGGGCAAGGCACTTAACCCTCCTCGCCTGCTGGTGGTGGTCGGGGAGACCGGTGACGCCTGTGCTTGGCAGCTTTGCCTCCGTCAGTGTAGCACATCACTACCAGCGTGTGAATGTGTGCGTGCATGGAAGAATGACTGGTTAGTTGTAAAGCACCTTGGGGGGTTGTAGAACCCTGGAAGGGACTGTATAAATACAGGCCATTTACAATTATTCAACACATTTTTGCTCAACTTTCAAGGCACTTGAGAGTATTTATCACAAAGAATTATTTAATGGTTGAGATTCAGCTTACCTGCAACACCAGATACACCTGCTGTTTTATTTGCCACGTCTCTAATAATCCTCACTCCTCCTCTTCTTTCCTCTCGTCTCTTAGGTTAACCTTGTGATGTTTTGGAGAACGGTTCTCGACCACCGCCTGCATTTCCACAACCCTCTGTGTGTGTGTGTGTGTGTGTGTGTGTGTGTGTGTGTGTGTGTGTGTGTGTGTGTGTGTGTGTGTGTGTGTGTGTGTGTGTGTGTGTGTCAACAGGCAGAGGGAGGGGGGGCACCAGGGTGGGGGGAGGATAGGGGAGTCTTTGCTGTAACATGATGATTATTCTTGTGGTGTATTTTAACTGTAGAAGACAACAGAGGATTGTCTGTTTGGTTATACAAGAAAAACTTGAATACAAATACCAAAACATTTGTTGATGAACATTTAAGGTACATCTTGCAAAGGAGACGACTTACATTTATGAGAAAAAAAAACTAAAACATAAAAAACAAAAAAAAAACCTGTAGTAATATTTAACTTGAGAGAATGTATCTGTCTGTGCTGTGTAAATATCAACTTATATATTTGTATGTATGTATGTATATATATACGTATATATACATATATATATATATATATATATATATATATGTATATATATATATATATATACGTATATATATATATATATATATATATATGTATATATATATATATATATATATGTATATATATATATGTATGCATGTATATATATATATATATATATGTATGCATGTATATATATACATATATATACATATATATATGTATGTGTATATATATATATATATATATATATATATATATATATACATATATATATATATATATATATATATACATATATATATGTATGTGTATATATATATATATATATATATATATATATATATATATATATACATATATACATATATATATATATATATATATATATATATATATATATATATATATATATATATATATATATATATATATATATATATATACGATATACGACTATGTGTACACAGTTGAATAATTGTGCACTCTATATTAGTTGTTATACAACAAATGTTGAGCACAGAGTTATTCAATTGCATTTATTTTGGTTCTGTTTAGGAGCTCCATCTCTTCACCAACCAGAAGCATCTTTTTATTGATTTTTATTATCATTTATTTCATTTATGCTTAAACTTCCTTCCAATGATCAACTTTTGGTTTATTCTATCAGCATTACTGATGGGAATTAAAAATCAGGGTAAAGTTGCTGAGAATGCAAATCCAGAGAAAGAGAAGATATTTATTTATATAGTAAAGAAACAGTAACACGTGTAGAAATGTTAGTGGTAACAGGGAGGTGAGGGTATCGGGTTTATGCTTTGGTCCATCAGAGCACTGTAAAATACATTTCCACTGTCTCCCCCTCCATGTTTTTACCTTTTAGAATAAACATTTTAAGGTTCTGAGAAGCAAAATAAAAAAGGGAATTTCTGGGGAACAGATCAAAATAGATTTTATTGGCTTTAGGGATATGATGGTGGCACTGGAAATCCTGAAATCCCAAACTTGTCGGATCAGGAAAGTTTACCATCTATTTGTTGTTTCTGTAACTTCTCTAGAGCTGTCAGTGTGGACATTGTGATCAGATGTGTAACGAGTTTTAGCAGTGTGTGTGTGTGTGTGTGTGTGTGTGTGTGTGTGTGTGTGTGTGTGTGTGTGTGTGTGTGTGTGTGTGTGTGTGTGTGTGTGTGTGTGTGTGTGTGTTGACTTGTGTACTGACATCCATTGTTTTTCTGTCTATGGTTCTTTTCCTGTTTTTTATGTAATCCTGAAAGTTGTATGACAGAGTTATAGTTTTTTAAATGGTGTTTCTATCACACTGAAATCCTACATCAACAGCAGAATACATAGAGGTTTATTAGACTTTAAACATCTCGGTCATGCTGTACGTTAGGATGTGGCAGTCTGAACAGTATGCCTCCATCTATTAACCAACTGCATCTTTCTGTCTCTCCTCGTCTCTCCTCTCTGACGATAAGACGGTTTACTGCATGAAGTCTTCTCTTGACATTCCAGTTGATCCATCATCACACGTTAGAGGCCGAGGCTCGGGACAGTGGTTATACTGCACAGCGCAGCCACAGCTCTGCCATTTTCTGCACAAGAATAAGCTACATAATAAATTAAAATACAACAAATGTGTTGCAATAATTACCTGTATTCAGATAGAAACACACCTGTTTGGCTGCAGTCATTCATTTTCAATACGCCAAACGATAAAAGTTGTGTTTTATAGGTAGTTTTTGCTCCAGCGTCGTTTGTCCCATCAGGGTTCTTTGAGTCAGGCGACGTAGAAGCTGCTGCGTTTCTCTCACCTCTGTTTTCTCCTTTCTATCCTTCTTTCTCTTTCACTGTAGCTCTTATAAATATGCTGAAATGAATTATAGTCTGTTGTTAGTGGTGAATGATGTCTTGTGATGCTCTCTAAGCCCTTGGATAGTGCTGTTTATCGTGAATGATGTATTAATATTAGTATTTATGACAATGATAAGTCAGAAAAAAGCATTCGAGACTCTTCAAAATTCTGCCGTATTCTTATTGTGTGGGATCCGTGTGAAACAAAATGAAATAAACTTGACATTATTCGGTTGAAGGTATACGTCTCTGTGGGTTTTCTTTGTTTCTTTGTCCGTTACCCATATTGTACCAGGAAATAGTCCCAATGAGTTTCTAAATCCCTTTCCTCAAAGGAGTCCTGTCCAAAGCAGCAGGTAAAAGCAACGAGTAAAAGTAAAACATATCTATAAAGCAGATAAGAAACGTCTCAGACCTCAGCATCACCTAAACAAGCTCACTTGTAGCATTGTATTTCTACAAAAATGCATCTGCTACTGTAAAGATCCTTAATCCTGGCTTTAAACTGTAACGCCATTGGTAAACATTGTAATTTGAACTGATTCTGCTAATTAAAACAGGATGATGGTGTAAAAACTCGAAATGCACAAAGTCTTTTTGGAGATTGTGGGATTTCAAAAAAATGTAAGTACAAAAAGCAGAATTTCTTTAAAATGCTAGTGCTGCATGATGTACAGAATGATGCATGATGTACAGAATGATGCATGATGTACAGAATCCAATGCTGGCAAAAGAGAATTTCTGGTGTGCATGTACAAAATATGCCCATGATCCAGCTTTGACAACAAAGTAGCTTGCATGAGTCGTTTCCTCACACTAAAGGAGAAACAGGCTTTATTTCGATGGTAAAAACTCCAAGACAATCCGTGTGTTGCTTACAGTTTTCTTGATTGCTCAAACACTAAAACTAATCCTTTGAACTCAAATCACTAAACCGTAATGCTATTTTTCAAAAGCACACCCATTTCCCTGAACCATACACATTATTCCCCTCTATGCTGTTCCTAACGACTTTTTGACCTCCCTCAACGACTGTTTTTCCAAAAAAAAAAAAAAAAAGAGAATGAGGAGAGCAGGAGGTCTGAGGTGTACCTTCCAACCAGGGCCGGCTTTGCCGACAGGCGACACAGGCGGCCGCCTGGGGCGCCATCTGATGGATAGGGCGCAAAAAAAAAAGTTTATTAAATTTATGTTTGTTATATGAAATGCACTCTCTACATACTCAAAATTCCCCTCTGTAATGACATGAAATTAAAACATCAATATTTAAATTCTAATGATCTGGCTGCATGACGAGCTCCCGCTTGGGCCACCATGGATCCTGCTGAAAGGCCACAGCAGTTGAACAAAATGGAAAGTAGAACTTTTATGATGACACTTTGATATTTGAGTTTTGCTTTTGATTGCACAGTTTATGTTGCTTTTGATTTTGCCCCCCCAATGATATTTGCACGACATTTTGGAGTTGTTGGTTATTCTAATATTCTCAGGTTACTTATCTTTCAAGCTTACATTTATTCTTCAGGCTGTTGACTTTAAAGAGTTGCTGTGTGAATATTTAAAATAAAAAATTAGTAACTAAGGAATAACTGTGGAGTTGCTGTTTCCCAATGTGTTGTGGGCGGGTGGACTTGGGTTTGGGTGGGAGGTGTGCGGGCACGGGGGGGGGGGGGGGGGGCAAATGGGCACTCTCGCCTTGGGCACCGCATTACCTAGAGCCGGCCCTGCTTCTAACAGGACTGTTTGGATCACCACACCATATCAAATTCAAATTCAATTCAAATTCAAAAATGCTTTATTAATCCCAGAGGGAAATTGATTAAAATTTGTCTGTCTTAATGTCACTTTATTTATCGTTTTTGAATTTATTTTACATATCAAAGCAACTTGGGCCATTTTAATCATACTAATTAAGAACATTAACACAAAATATAGTTTTTGATGTAAATGTGGCGTGATGACGTCATGAATATTCAAATTATCACCTGGCTGCATGTGGGTGACTTTTTGGGTCTTGTTAAAAAAAAAAAAAAAAAAAAAAAGACTTTCTGGGTCTATCGGGGAGAGTTGGCAACACTGGTTAAAACCGGTTAAAACCAACGCCCCCAAGCAGACAGCTTTCTTCTCCGCCCCTCTTCTTCATCAAAAGTCTTTTTTTGTCCGTCAGAGAGTCATCCGCCTCCTTCCCCGCGTGGTGGAAACGTGTGGAAAACAAAACACTCCTCTCTCTCTGCTGCCCGCCCGCCCGAACGGGAGCAGCAACAACAACTGGGACCAGTGTGCTTCGCTGGAAAAAACATTTTTAGTGCTGATTCCGACGCGCTTTCATCGGTACGCCTTCCGCACCAGAAGCTCCCAGGATGGCTGACACGAGCGGGACCAGCCCTGCTGCCAACTTCCTGGAGACCATGAAAAGTTACACGAAGACCCAGAAAGGATTCATCTTGGCAGCAGAAATAGTGAGTCGGTGGGAGTGGGCGGGAGTCGCGTTGGCTGTTGTGCTGCTGCTGCTGCTCAGTACTTCATAGGTTACTGCGTGAGTTCATGATCAGCGAAGAAAAGTGTTATTTAGGAATAACAGGCGTGTGTGTGTGTGTGTGCGTGCGTGTGTGTGTGTTTTAAAAGCTCCAGCCCTAAGGGTCACGTGGTCCCTTAGTTGAGCGTTTATAATTACTGAGCGATAAGTTTCCTCTTTTTGCGGAGGGTTATTCTAGCATTTTCATCCGAAAAGAAACTGGATGGCATTTCCCAGCCCATTTTGAGTTTTCCCTACAAATAACCACTGAATTCAAATGCGTGATGTTAAGTCTACAATGGAATAAAAGTTGATAAAGCCGCATCTGCACAAACTGCTCCGAAATCTTTGTCGTTGGAGTTGTTTGAAATCAGTAGAACAGGGATAGACAATCCTGGTCCTTAAGTGTCGCTATCCAACATGTTTCAGTGGTTTCTCTTCTCCAGCACGCCTAATCCAGTGGTTAAATCATCAGGTGAATGCCCCTACTGATTAAATAGCTCTGTTGGAGCAGAGAAACAACTAAAACATGCTGGATAGCAGCACTTAAGGACCAGGATTGCGGGGTCTGTCATTTATCAATCATTGCGTAGAATCCTTACTAAAACCGTACTAAGCTAATAAATAAGCCGCCTTGTTGCAGCATGGCGACCACGACCGCAGATCAAGGAAGCGCAAGTTCACAGAAGCAGAAGTTGAGGTACCTGTGGGTGAGGTGGAGAAATGAAAGCAAGTGCTTTTGCAAAACAAATAATAGAAAATCCACGGAGTTGCACAGCGTTGCTGAAGCTGTCAGTGTCGTGAATTCTTCAGAGAGATCTGTGGCGGATATAAAAAAAATAGATCCAATCGGGATTCGATCCCCAGACTCCCGGGTGAAAGTCACGTGCACTAACCAGTCATCTCCCTTGTCCAAGTAGCCAGGGCGCATGATCAATCGGGTCACAGTGACAGGACACACACTGTCACAGACGCATGATGTTCTCACACTGCCCCCCTGCAGATATTGTGCATTCTGTATTCTGTGCTTCAGGCTGTGTGTGCACGAAGCGGTACAAGTGATAATGCTGCAGGATTTCATAATGTTATCCTTCTCAGCAGCAGCACTGCAGCTGCTCTCCATGTCCAACATGTGCGTAAGCCAGGTCCTTAGTCAACTTAAAGTTGCGCACATTTTTCCGACAAGTTTTCTTTCATGAATCCCAAAGTTTACGTGGAAAGTTGCTTACGCGGTTTTCCGACCCCGTTTTGTGCGTAAGCAAGCTCGATAAATGAGGCCCGAGGATGGCCCGCCTCACTCAAACTAGCCGTTAGCACATCAATCCAGTCAGAACTAACTGGTTTCTCTAAACTGAAGAGGTAAACAGAAACACACACTGAATGAACCTTTTCACCAGTGACACCATTAAAGTGGGAAGATACTATTTAAACTTTAGTGCTACTGTCACTTCAGAAGTAACAGCTGTTACCACTCGTGTGTATTTTTACATCTTCCTCTTGAGACGCACAACGAAGCAAACCTGCTCAGCGTAAAGCTGCATTTAGAAATCTCCAAATGAGCTTGTTTTAAATCAGATGTTGGTGGTCAGCCGGCCGCCCATTGTGGGGGGTTTTACGAGGTAATGGGAATTCCAGACTGGTGTGAAGTTTAGTCCCGGGAACAAGGAAATGCACCCTTTGTTGTTTGAATTTTACAGAAAACTGATCAAGTCAGATGGAAGCCTCTTTGACTGGATGTCTGAAGTAGTTAGCAAGCTGGAGGGAAAGACTCTTAAGATAAGGGTCATTAGGGCTTATTATGGGAATTTCGTGTTTCATAGGAAAAGCAGGAAGTTGAGCTTTTAACCTCGGTTTGGAGAAGTAGTCCATCTTTGAATGCAGTAATGTGTGTGTGATTGGTTCGTGAGCTTTAGCTGGTGTTTAGAGCTGCAGACGGTCGCGCTCGGTTCAGCTGTCATGTGGCTGATAAGTGTGGACGAGTCCTGTCCTGATGGTTCATCTCACTGTTTACGAATTTAAAGCAGCGACCCAGTCCTCTCCTGCAGCAGGCGGCCTGTGCAGGAGGGAAGTAATGGCTGTTGTGGAATGAGTCAAACTACTGAAGATAACGGTGATGAAATAACACTCAACTGTCCTCTTTACACAGTGCACATTCATTGGTGTGTGTGTTTTTTAAAGGAAGGGGGGGCTTCCCTAGCAACTGTTGCTGTTTGGTGTGAATCACCAGCAGGCAGGGGCCAACCCCGCGGGTCTCGTGTTGCTGCTATGATTAGCCAACGGTTGGTAATGATTTCCCTCCAGTCGTTTTAAAAGAGCAGCTCTTTGCAGAGATCTGGATGGATGGAGGCTGTGGTCCTTTATATCAGACATACGACGTCTGAATGTCCGATTTTCGTCTTCAGAGGGGCTCGTATGTGGGTGTTTTTCTTTTCTCTGTGTGTGACGGCCACTTCAGATCAGCCGGCCCGGCCTGAATAGAGCTCCTTTTGTGCCTCAGCCTCTCTGCTGCCCTGCAGAGGCAGCCTGTGCCAGTCTCGGGAACACACAAACTTCTGACGAGTCTGACTCGCTGGCTGTGGGCTGCATGTTCGGGCAGGGCGGCGACGTGTAGCGGCAGATGTGGGCTGGTGTCAAGTCAGTGAAGTGATGCGTGCATCACCGACTCCTGAGTTGTCTGTGTCTGAGAATAAAACCTTGCTAGTGGAAGACATGCTTTAGTTGGACACTAGTCATGAGCTGGGGAGGGATACAGTTAAAACCATCACTGGAGTCATTTACTAGACATGTTTTGAGAATGATTTTATTCCTGCAGTCTGCAGCTTTACCACCAGGTGAAGAAACTGAGGGTCTGGAGCTCAACTGTCAGCCGTTATTTTTAAAATCATGTCGTTCTCAGAGCCAGAGACTGACTCCGGTGTGGACGTTGTTCTTTTTCACTCTTTTCATGCATAAAACCCACATATATTCAAGATTTAACGCATAATGTCAGATTAGGAAACATGTTTCCCTCTACAATGTACTTTTGCCTTTGCTGTCTACACTGATGCTAAAAGTATAAATAAATAAGATAATGAAGAATGCAAAAGTACAATTAAAAGCAAATTTTAAGAAATATAAAGTATACAGGGTATGTGTACATGTCCATGCAAATAACACGCTACAGCAGCTCTTCTGTGCAACCATCAGTGGTAAAATATGGATCATACACATTATACAACATGTATTCATATGATGATCGAGTAATTCTGATCTCGTTATGAACCTGAAACAAGATTTGGATTTTTCCAGAAAATCTTCATCTCATAGTTTGCAAGGTGCATTAAAAAACAACAACAAAGCTGATGAATGAAAGTCTGTCTGGTAAATCAATGCTTGTGGGATGGACGTGTCGGGGTCGCGTGAAGGCCCTTTCCCACAGTTTTGCAGCAACAATAGCAGAAGTGTGTGTTTGAAAAGTTTATGGTTTCTGCACACTGGCAGCATTTACTGGACTGAGGAGAACGCCGCCTTCTACATGTGGATTGGACAACAGAGTGCTCGTCCCCTCTGGACCACTAATAACTAAGTTTTTAGGCTGATTAGTGTCTCCTAGTGAGAGCTCTATCCGTCTAGTCAATTTTATTTGATCAGTTCCTCTTTTAAAATTTGTCTCGACATCAAGGCTCTATCGACGCATTTAACTCTTAATGCCTTACTTGTGATCCAGCGTACCGGTACAGCCCCTGACCTTTTGAGTGGACGGACACGGCTCGTGCTCGCAGAGGCCCTACTTGCATGGGGAACCAGACCGGACTACTCAAGAGTGCGTCTGGTTCCTGGCTTACCTCTTGCTGGATTGGACCGGCCAGGAGAAGTGTCTCCACACGATCCTGTCTCTGGATCCCACCGAACTGGTGGCAAGGGTATCGTAGAATTCGGATGCAGCGAGTGCAGCTTCAGGTCCAGAGATGCTGCACGAGCCTTGCTGATTCCAGCCGGCTTCTGGTTTAGGAGAAAAGGGTTAAACCTGGGCTAAGCTGAAGTTCCTCTTAGGAGAAAGGAACTATCAGTTATGTAATTATCTGAGTAGTTTAGATGGATAAAATAATTCGCAGGAGACGAGGTTTGTCTTTTGGGTTCTAATAAAGCAACCCTAACCCTAAAATCAGCCAAAAGGCCACGGTAAAAATGATTAAAAACAATAGTAAATAAATAAAATATTTTTGTGAGTTTTTGTTATTTTATGATTTTTTTTATTAATAAGGCAAAACAAAAATCATTCCGCTTCTAGTTGAGCATTAAACGTTAGCACATGTCTGTTGAACCAAAGTTTAAGCAAAATATGAGATAATTAAATCAATAAATATAAACTGTAGGAATGTAAAATTAAAGATGCAATTGAAAATCAAGCAATCAAAATGTTGAGCATGCCCAGCTCTAAGTTCAGAAGATTAAAACATAAGTAAAATCAAACTTAAAGTTTAATATAAAAGGAATGTCAAGCAGTTAAGATTAACAAGAGAAATGTCAGGGGTGGACATTAACTTCAAAACCAACCGGCCAGCGGGGCCGGTAACTCTGAATATTTACCGGCCCCGCTGGTCAGCTGCCAAAACAAGTCAAAATAACAACTGAACCGTTTTAAATATAATAAACCTTTATTTTGTACACATTCAGAAACATAATAACGTATTCAAGTTTGAATTTGTTTGTTCCCTCAACAAAACTCGATTTTGTCGTCGCATACTTCCGGCATACAACGCAGTACATCACCAATTCCGCTTTGCTGTACTCGAGCCATTGGCTGTGTTCGAGATGAGCCAGTTCTGCGCAGATTAGACCAGCGGTGATCGTCGAGCAGAGCATGCCGGTTTTGTGTCCGACTTGACGCCGACTTGCTCTGACGTCATGCATTTCTAATGGGGATGAGTCCGCTTACAGAATGGAGGCTGAGCGGCTGGTGTC